CCTCAAGTCTCCACGAACGGAAATGGGAGTCGCAGCGCCGGGGACCAGCGGAAACAAAACACAGAGGTGGCCGCGGGGGGGCCGCTTCGGGGGAGAAGGCCCCGGAACGGAGCCGGCCCGCGCGGGCCCGCGCTCCCCTCCTCTCCCACGGCCGCACTCACCCGCTCCGGAATCCACCGGGTCGCCCCCGCCCGCGCTCCAGAGCCGGCTGAGAACAGCAGCGGCGCGCGCTCCACGTGCAGCGTCTCTCCCGGTAAAACCTGCAGCTCCCGCGACTCGAACTGCGAGGCCCCTGGGCCCTTCCCGCGGAATCGGCGCGGAGAAACTCCAACCCCCCTCCCGCCTCCCAGGCACCCCCGGGTTCAGGACTACAACTCCCAGCAGGTTGCGCGAAACGAACGCCCCGAGGCAACGGAGGCTCGCGAGGCACAATGGAGCACAACGCCCCAGTCCGCTTTGTTTTACAGTCTTGTCACTCTGTCGGTACGTTCAGACACCTCAACAACCCAAGGAAAAGGACTACTGATTCGGGGCAGGAGGGGCTGAACTGAGTGAAAGGCCAGTTCCAAGTGCGCAGGCGTACATAGGCAGGTTTCCAAGCAGATCTAGTTAGGGGGAAGGAAGATGGCGGAGGAGTCGCTAGGGGACCCGGAAGCACTTACCCTCCACTTCCTCCTGTTTGCCTTCTGCCTCACCTAGAGCCGTCCGGTCGCAGACTGTCTCCGAGACGCTTCCTGTCCGGTGAGCGCCGACCGACTGAAACGGCGGCCCATAATGCATTGCGATGGCGGGTAGGCGGGTGGGGGCGGAGCCAAGGCCGGAAGTAGAACGGTGGCGGCGGCGGCGGCTTTGGCAGCTCGGGACTGAGTGCAAGGTGACTGGGTGGGAGGGTGGCCGGGCTGGCTTGGCCCCTTGGGACTGCGATTCTGAGTTTTTTCACGGGGACGGGGCCGCCTGTTACCTTTGCCCTTCTTGAGAGAGCAACTTTTTGGCCTCGGGGACCTTGACGGCCTGTCCCGAGGTCACTGCAGACCTCGGCGCCCTTAGGCCCTGCAGCGTGTTCAGGGGACTCGATGTGTATTGTAGCCTCGATTCACAGGCCCGCTCTGGCCGCGAGCCGGGGGTGCGGAGGTCGGGGACGCGGGGCTTCCACGGGCCGCAGCCCAGCCGGGCAGCCCAAGGTCATGCCCCGGGGCAGGTCTTCGCCAGGCCCGCCCAACCTGGGCGCCGCGGAGGGGGAGTTGTCATGAGCTATTGAAACAGACTGGGCACCGTAAGAGGGTGGTAACATAAGAGGCATTCAGATCTGCAGAGAACTTTTTTGAGTTTATTTGAGCCAAGCTGTTGACAAGTGCCGGGAAGCAGAACCTCAACAGATTGAGATAATGCCCCGGAGAATGGCAGTTTTGCACCTTATACATTATAATGGAAAGAGGAGATGCACCTGGGTTACTTGAGATCCATTGGTGATAGATTAAGGAGGTGGGAGGAAGCCTAGCGGGGAAGCCTCTGGGATTGGATAAAAAGTAAAAGGACAGACACATACCTCTTACTTAGGTGGGTACAGGGTAGTTAACAGTCAACAATTAACATGATAAAAGAGAGGATTCACCGTCTCCACCCTAGTTGGGGCCTGTGGCGTCTGAAAAAGGAGACTTACCTGACCTTCCAAAGGAATGTTATTGTAGTTGCAAAAGATAATAGGCTTGGTTAAGGCAGTTTCACCTTTGGGAAGATAACGGGCCTAGGACCTGACTACCCACCGTAAACTGCTTTTTAGTTAAAACGTTTTAATTTCCGCCTAGCCGGTGGGTCAGTGGTTAGAGCATTGGCCCACAGACTGAAGAGTCTCAGGTTCCATTCTGGTCAAGGGCACAGACCACATACCACAGTTGCAGGCTCCATCCGAGTGCATGCGGGGACGCAACCAATCGCGGTCTCTTAAAAAATAGTTTTAGTGTCAGACCATCCTTTGTGGTTACTTTAGGTCTCTGAGTTTGCAAGGCCACCATGCAGGCCTTCCCTGAGCTAGTCTGGTTAGTGTCCTAGGGCCTTTGGTTATGAAGTTAAAACTTGCAATGGGCAGGGTATGCAGCGGGGATCAGGTGACTGTTTTTAGCACTCAGTGAGTTCTGGTATGCTTGAAGTTCTATAGCAATTAAGAGAATTTGATTCCCACTATGTGATATAGAGGTGTTTTACATTTATATACATATTAAAATATATTAACATTGTGGTGCTTCTTTTCAGTAACAGAATCACCATGATTCTTCAGAGGCTCTTCAGGTTCTCCTCTGTCATCCAATCTGCAATCTCAGTCCATTTGAGGAGAAATATTGGTGTTACAGCAGTGGCATTTAATAAGGAGCTTGATCCTGTACAGAAACTCTTTGTGGACAAGATTAGAGAATACAAAACTAAGCGACAGTAAGTGGGTAGATAATTAACCATGGTGTAAATATATTCAAAGTATGTAGGTTTTGGGATGGTAATAAAATTACTTGGTGTTTAGAAGTGTCTAAAACTTTCACTGGTCAGGCAAGTGCGGGAGGCAGCCAGTTGATGGGTCTCTCTCACATTGATGTGTCTCCCTCTCTCTCTCTCTCTCCCCCTTCCACTCTCTCTGAAAAGCAATGGAAAAAATATCCTCAGGTGAGGATTAATTTAAAAAAAAAAATGAATTTACTCACATGATTTTGTTTATAGCTTGAAAGGGGTCTCAAACCCATAGAAGGCCATTAATAGACACAGCCAGGGGTCTCCTCAGGTTACAAACAATTGGTATGAAGGTTGGACAGCTAAATGGGGGTGGAAAGAGGATATCTTTTAGGAGGAAATATGGTGTGAGCTAAGGCATGAAAACTAGAAAGCATACTTGAGAAATTGTGTAATGCTATTTCCCAAGGCTATAGAATATATGAAAAGTGTAGGGAGCAATAAGGGTAGAATGGGGTTAGAATGAGGGATTATGGAAGGCTTGATTATAGACTGGACAAGTAAGATATATGAAAAGCACATGTGACCTTGGGCAAGTTATTTAACCTCTGTACCTCAGATTCCTCATATGTAAGACGGATGATAACAGTACGTGTATCATAGGATGTTATAAAGATTTAATAAATTAGCATGCCTAGTATTTTTTTAAGTGAAATAAATAAATCTCCCTTGAGTGTCTGCTTTGTCCCAGTCACCATCTAGAACAAGATGGGCTGGGAGACTTGTAGTCAGTTGAGAAGGTAGGTGATTTTGTGGCTCCTTTATATTTGTAAGAGTACACATTTGAGTTGTGACTGCCATCAACCTATCAGTAACCAGTATATTCATGAGACTGGATCTTTTCAAAGCATTTTCTAAAGCTTGTGGATCCCAGAGCTGGAAGACAATCACCAAAGTATTTGGTTGAAGGCTCTATCAAGAACTGCATTGTATGTATCTCAGTAGCTGTTACTCACATGTGACTTTCCAAATTCTAATTTAGTACAATTAAGTTTATTTATTTATTTACTTATTTATTCTTAAATATATTTTTATTGATTTCACAGAGAGGAAAGGAGAGGGAGAGAGAGAGAGAGACATCAGTGATGAGAGAGTCATTGATCGGCTGCAGCCCACAACCCGGGCATGTGCCCTGACCGGGAATTGAACCCCGATCGCCTGGATCCTAGGTTGACGCTTAACCGCTGAGCCACGCCCGGCCGGGCAGTACAATTAAGTTTAAATAAAAATTCAGTTTCTCAGTTGCCTTAGCCACATTTCTAGTACCCAATAGCCAGATGTGGCTAGTGGCTACCATATTAGACAGCACAAATACAGAGCATTTCTGTCATCACAGAAAGTTTTATTGCACATGCTGATCTAGAAGAAAGTTGGGTCCATAACAAGAATATCATTCGTAAGCTCTTAAATTAGAGCTGTCTCTCTATTTTGTGAAAATTCTGTAACATAAATAAGACCATATGCATAGGCATGTGTGAAAATATTATTACCCTTGATGGACTTTTCACTTGTAAATTTTTTGTTTATTGTTCATTGATACTTGGGCAATAACATTATGACACAAGAATTTATGCAAAGAATTAAGTAAATCTAATTGGCCTCATGGTGCTATATTTATCTTCCAAAGCACGACTCTATTTTTGTCATTTTATTGCTTAGCAAATAAAATAACAACCTCCCAGGCTTAACATTTCAGGGTTCCCATAATCTGTCCTGATGGGTCTTCTTCATCTACACTTATTCTTCCCACATAAAGCCAATGCTTTACCTCCTCCATATCTTTGTTTTTCAGTCTTAGAAGGTTGCACATTAAAATCTGACCCAAATGCAAATGCATGATTTGTCAGAAATACCACTTTTTTTTAATCCTCACCCAAGGGTGTTTTTATTGATTTTGGAGAGAGGAAGGGAGAGAGACAGAGAAACCTCTATCGGTTGCCTCCTGTAGGTGCCCCAACCAGGAACGGAGCCCGCAACCTAGCTATGTCACCTGACTTGGAATTGGACCTGCCACTTTTCAATGCTCCAACCAATTGAGTCACCCGGCCAGGGCACAAATGCCACTTTTTTTTTTTTTTTTTAATGAAATTTCTTCTGATTAGCTCAGCAAAAGTGTCCTCTCCCCAACTTAAGTAGTTTTTCGTTAAACCACTTTGAAGCTTATCACGTAACTCCCTTACATCATAAATGTTCTAAATGGCAAAACCTCTGAGGATAGGGAATGATTTTGGTTCTGTAACTAGTGCCTAAAATGAATTTTTACTTGCTCATTTACACACAGGTCATCTGGAGGACCTGTTGATGCTGGCCCAGAGTATCAGCAAGACTTGGAAAAGGAGCTTTTTAAGCTTAAGCAAATGTATGGTAAAGCAGACATGAATGCCTTCCCTGACTTCAAATTTGAAGGTAAATCTCTTTAATCGTGGCTTCATCCTGTGTTACTGTTTTGACCAGGGGACCTCTGGAGAGAGAGCCGCTGGGACCTTCATTTTCAGGGGTTTTAAAGGCTGGGTGTTTAGAGGTGGTCTTAGGTGAGGATCAGTGGAATATTCATCAGCTTTATGCTGATGTACCAAAATGAGATTTATTCTCTTAATTTGTCTGTCCCTGAGTATGATTGACAAATAGCACTAATTGGGTTTCTGTTACCAGTCTTCCAGAGTAGGGTGATTTACGCTATTACCCTTTGGTTGGGGAGGAGAAATGCAAACCATTTACTTTTAAGTGTCCTTGGTTTAGGGAAGATCAGATTTACTAGTTGGCTGCTAACAGCTGTTTAACTATATCTCTCAGTTTCCCTGTTCCACTTGTCCTGGAATTTTCCTAGCTTACTATTCTATAACACTTGTGGGAGATCACTTTAAGAGGAAACTATGTTTACTTATTTATACTTACTTGGATTGTTTAGAGGATAAATGTTAAGTACACATAGATTTATTAAGACAGTGTCGTGTGCATGGGAAGCTGTGGGATAAAAAGTTGCCATTGGTATAGGAGATCACATAACATAGAGGTTAAATGATGGGGCTCTGAGATCAAACTCCCTGATCTTGAATCCCGACAGTATTACTGACAGACTGTGATCTTAGATAGTTAACTGGTACCTGTTTTTTCATCTGACGTTTGAGAAGAATTATAGTACCTTCCTTATGTGGCTTAGTTAAATGATATATATAAAGTCAGTTAATACCTCGCTCATAGCAAGTGCTGGATAAATCTTTAGCAATTGTTAATATTTCCATGTTGATGTTTAGAAAACAGTATTCACTAAAAAAAAAATCAGAAGATTGGTGAGTTAAATAAGCCTTCTCAATAAGGCATTTGATTGCAGTATGGCTAAGCTTGAACTTTTTTTCCCTCTTAGATCCCAAATTTGAAGCTGTGGAAAAACCCCAGTCCTGAAGAAATGTAAAATTTATTTGGTAATTTGCCCTAAATAAGTGTACAACTGATCAGAAGTATCAGAATAAACATACATTTCAACAACTGTCGAATGTTCTTTCATTCTAATTCCATTGAATTTGCTGATGTTGGGTGTATGCTTAATTGTATTTAATTCTATGCTTTAGCATTAGTTTTAAATCTTCCCATTTGATTATAATGAAACATGTGAAGTACTTGGATAAATTGGGTACAGCTTGTTTATAACCTGCCAGACTCTTCTCAGTGTACAGGGTATCGTTTACATTGTGGAGACCTACTGCCCAAGGGGAGCCACAGACCTAAGGAATGTTTGCTATAGAGGTATACTCTACCAGAATCCCAGGCTAAGGAGTTTAGTAACAGATTATAGAAAAAGAGTGAAAGGCTTTTAGCAAGGGGAAAGGAGAAGGGAGTTGACATTGAAAGTAATTTGGCAGTGACTGACAGGGTGGGGAGATGGAGAAACTAGAGGGCAAAGGAGCCTTTAGAACATGGAGAAATTGTGACTAAGAAAGAGGACCTTTAAGGGAAGAAGTTCCCCAGAAGACAAAGGGTGTGAGATAGTAACAAAAGCCTAAGATAAAAGGATTAAAGTTGTGACTGTTACCAAATGTGCCAATGAATGACAGCCAATAAATGAATGGGAAGTTAAAGCTGGGAAGATTTAAAGAGATTAACCAATGAATTTATATGCATATATGCTGCATAATCCAAGGACAGACAATAGTGCAGGGAAGGCCTGGGAAGAGGGGGAGAGACTGTCAATAAGGGGGAGAGGGACATCTGTAATACTTTCAACAATAAAGATTAAAAAAAAAAGGGGGAGCTTTAGAAAAAGGGTGGTATTGATGGTGATAGAATTTAAATGTATTCATCATGATTAGCTTCAGTATTTAAAAAAAAAAATTTCTTTAATCCTCAAATTGATTTTTAGAAAGCTAGAGAGAAACATCACCTGCCTCCCTCCTGTACGTGCTGTGACCTGGGACCAAATCCACAACCTAGGTATGTGCCCTGACCGGTAATCGAACCTTCAACCTTTTGGTGCACAGGATGATGATCTGACATACTGAGCCACCCGGCCAGGGCTAGTTTCAGTATTTTTAAATAGATGATGTGGGCATCACTGGTGAGGGGAGAGTGGACAAGAGTGAAACAGCCCACCGTGCCATTTAGACTAGGTAGAGGAGAAAGGGAAGACAGAAAAGTGTTTTGGGCTGTGAGACTAGGAACGGGTGCCCAGACCAGAGATTTCTGAAAATGAAGGGGAGGTAAAGTACAAGAATTTGGAAATTTAATAGGAATGTTGGGAACAGAGAAAAACGTCTTCATGTGAAACATCTTGGATCACATGCAGTCACGGACCCTCAGTCTCAGTTTCCTCATCTGTAAAATAGGACATTGCCCACTTTATAATATTGATGAGGTAAGATTTTCTCTACCCTCTCCATTTTCCCCACCTCTAACAGATATAAAATGTTCAATAAATAGCTGTGGCTTTTATTTTCAGAGCTTTTTTCCTTTTCAGTGTTTGAGAGGTTGGCAGGTATCCAGACTGAGAGATGATGAGATTCTAATCTCAGGCAGCTAAAGAGCTAGCCTTATAACTACAGGCAGTTAAGAGGGTGTAGTTTCCTGGGTTTCACTGAACAATAGGTGGATGACTCTTTCCCTGCACTCTTAAATGAGGCTAAAAAAGTTTAACAAGTCCAGCTATTTATATTAACGTAGACTTTCATAAAACAAAACCACCTGTGAGATGAAGTTTTTTGCGAAGCTGTACTGAAAAACAACCAATTGTTCCAGATTTAGTTAGGTTAAACCCCCAACTAAAAATAAACCTAGCCCAGCTGGGCGTGGCTCAGCGGTTGAGCGTCGACCTAGGATCCAGGCGATTGGGGTTCGATTCCTGGTCAGGGCACATGCCCGGGTTGCGGGCTCGATCAATGACTCTCTCATCATTGATGTTTCTATCTCTCTCTCCCCCCCCCTCCTTTCCTCCTTTCCTCTCTCTGAAATCAATAAAGATATATTGAAAAAAATAAAAATAAACCTAGTTACAACAGCAACAATAATAACTAAAACAAAGCAAAACTTGCTATTAAAGATTCTAGAGCCCTAATCCTTGTATAACACAATTTCACTGAAGGAAAATAAAATCCAAATCCTCTAAGAATTATAATGAGGTTTTACTAGTTGTTAGTGTTCAAGTCCCTCAAATAAAAGCCGTTGGAAACACAAACCCAGACACAGGTGAATATAGTTTTAATAACTGGAAAGTGAGTGCTCAGTACTTATCCTTTGTGTGGGAGAGAGCATTCTTCACACAATGATTTTTACTTAGCTGTGTACAATATTTTAAGATAATGTCTATATATTTGACATAAAGTGTTAGATGTTAACACTGCCTAAGGTGAATCCTTTCACCTGTATGGCCTAGAAGCTTTTCATGTATTAGTAAAGCTAAGGCACTACGTATTTCTTCCCCACAAAATGGATTTGTGTCATTTAAATCAAAGAAGTTGATCTCATGAGCAAGTAGGTAAGCCTGAAGAGGCATCTTTGAGACTCCCATGTTCCCTTGGCACTTGGCAATGCAAGAGGAAAGCATTCCTCAAACCAAAGCAACTGGAAGCTTGGGCAACAGTTGGCCTAATTTCTTATAAAAACTTACAGATAGGTGTTTTTTCATGCTTTACCACTAGGAATTGGGAAATTGTGTGTTGGCCAAATCTTATCTGTGCTTGCTGTTTTTGTAAATAAAGTTATATTGGAACACAAACATGGCTATTTAATATTGTCTATGGCTGCTTTTATGTGATAATGGCAGAGTAGAATAGCTGTAACAGACCATATAGCCTATACCTTGTATTGCTTAATATACCTATCTGGCACTTTACAGGAAATGTTTGAATGGGGATTGGTGAGAAACATTGAATGCCACAAACAAGTGTTTACGTGGTGGGGGAGGGTGCAGTCTGACTACAGGTGAATCCTGAGAATTTGCTTTGCTTATTGGGCAAAAAGAATGGAGTCCTTTAAAAGCAGCTTAACCATGTTCAAAGTTGTGAAAGGTAGCAAGTGACCTTTTCATCTAAATTTGCCCAGAACTGGAAAGATCCTAGCCATATTTTGTTTTTAATATGAATTAATAATCAAATTGTATTTTTAACTGAGTCTAAGTGCTCTTACTATTAATTAGGTCATTGGAATTTTAACTTTGTCACACTAGTTGGAGCCTTTGTAATTAAGCAGTTGAGAGACCAGAGGATTAGGCCCATTCTTCATTTCAGCCACCATTTCTCCTGTGCCCGAGATGTAGCAAGGGGGGTGGATGCCAAGTTCAGGGAGCCATAGGGAACTCTTTCAACTAATTTTACTTGTCAGACAAGCACTTCTCTCCTCCGTTTCACAGCTTTGTGATGAGCAGGATGGGCAATCCACTGACCATAACAGCAAGGGACTCGGCCCAGCCCCAAATTTCCCTGCACGATTTTGAGAGACAGGTATGTGAAGTCACCATCCCAGGAAAAGGTTTTCTGCAGGGTTCTGTGTGTTGGCTCCAGGTCACTGATCCTCTACAAAGGGGTCTTAGTAGAAGGAAATAGCATCAGGCAGGTCTAGGGGTGAAATAAGTTACTTGGGCTTGGGTTTGACTGAGTGAGCTCTGGTCATGAGGTATTTTTCTTCATGTTGCTTTTGGTTCTTAGAAATGAAAGTAAACATGGAGTACAAATCCTTGGATATAAAACTCACTCCCACTACCTCCCTTCTGTGGAGGAATGAGCAAGAGAATAAGGAAAGAGGATTCTGGTGGAAATGAGACCAGAGGTTCCTTTGCATCTGTCAGAGTATTCCTGAACCCTCAAAATCAGACTCTTGCACAGAGAGTGCAAGCAGTTTATATTTGCATGCTCTGTGATTGATTGCACAATCAATATATGATATATTTTAGTAACTCTCTAGAAGTTAGGATATTTAACATCTCACAACACCCAGAATATTATTACCATGTATTTTGATTCTTTTAACTTAGTCCAGACTGTATTTTAGGTGCAGTCAGAACAATTGTTGTTGTTTTTTTTAATAATTTTTATTTTTCAATTACAGTTTACATACAGTATTATATTAGTTTTAGGTGTGCATCCTAATGATTAGACATTTATATAACTTAGGAAATGATTACCCTGATAAATCTAGTACCTACCTGGCACTATACATAGTTATTACATTATTCACTATTCTCCTTATGCTGTACTTTACATCCCCATGACTATTTTGTAACTACCAATAAGTACATTTTAACCCCTTCCCCTTTTCACCCATCTCTTCAACCCCCCTCCCATCTGGCATCCATCAAATGCAGGATCAGTGACCTGGAACCTACACATAGAACCCTGCAGAAAACCTTTCCCTGGGATGGTGACTTTACATCTCTGTCTCTAAAACAATCTATGAGTATATTTGTCTTGTTTTGTTTTTTAGATTCCACATATAAGTGAAATCATGTGGCATTTGTCTTTGACTTATTTCAGCGCAATATTCTCTGGGTCCACCCATGTTGTTGCAGATGATAAGACTGCATTTTTTTTTTATGGCTGAGTCATAGTCCATTGCATATATGCATCACTTCTTTAGCATTCATCTATTGATGGACACTTACGTTGCTTCCACATCTTGGCGATTGTAAATAATGCTGCAATGAACATAAGAATACATGTCTTCTCAAGTTAGTGCTTTGGGTTTCTTTGGAATAAATACCCAGAAGTGGGTGTGTGAGAACTGACTGTAAGTACAGTGGACAAGTGGTTGTGCAGGGGCTGATTCTGTGGAGCTCGACTCGCTTTAGCAGGGCTGTGGCGCCTGCCAAGTCTGCCCTTTGAGTGTATCATTTGTGTAGGTGGTTGGGTGGTGTGCTCTGAAGCTGACTACCGGGTGTGTTGGTTCTGGGGTCTATTGGGAGGTGCAGGCCAAGGTCAGCAGCTGCTTATGCCCTGTCCTGGGCCAGATGATCTGTAGAGGATTGCCACTTGTGCTGGGCTTGGGGCTCCTTAGCAAGAGGTACAGGGCACACTGCGGCCAGAAGCTGCTTGTTTGGGGTTTATGAGCCTTTGAGTGATTAAACCTTAGGAAAGTTCGCAGCATGAACCAAGGCAGGTGGTTTGTCTGCAGAAGCCGCTGGAATTGGCTTGGGTGCATCTGAAAGTTGGGTGGGCAGGGCCTCAGGGGATCACCAAGGCAGGGTGAAGTGTTGGCCAGGTTAATGGAGACTCAGATATGGCAGCCACCTGCTGGCTCTGTGGAGGGAGGGCTGTGCGAAGGGACAATGGCCTTTGCCAGCACTTCTCTCTGGGAGAAAGCTGGCCCCCCAGCTCTTGCTCTGATGCCAGACAGTTCAGTTCCTCTCCTTGTGTACTTTCATGCTGGTGTCCCAGCGCTGGAGCTCAGCGAGTGAGTCCCGGTAAGTCCATCTGTGGGCTTTCAGGAAGAATGCCTGGGACTCTAGCATCCCTCCGCCTCACTCAGCCACAATCCCCACGGGTTTTCACAGCCAGGAGTTATGGGGACTTCTCTTCCCGGCACTAAAACCCGGGGCTTGGGGCCTGGTGGGGGGTTGGGACCCCTCGCTCCTCAGCAGGGACCTCTGCAGCCGAGATATCCCTCCCGATTTTTAACCGCCACATGTGGGTGTGGGACCAGCCCATTCTGCACCACCCCTCCTACCAGTCTCAATGTGGCTTCTGTATATCCTTAGTTATAGGACTTCTGTTCAGCTAGATTTCAGGCGGTTTTCAATGTTGGTTGTTCTGTAGTTTAGTTGTAATTTTCATGTGGTCGTGGGAGGAGGCAAGTATAGGGTTTACCTACTCCACCATCTTGACTAGAAGCCCAGAACTATATGTTTAAAATAACAATTTCAAGTGATTTAGTGTTTATAAAAATTTTAATGAAATACCAACTTCATCTCCTTATGTACCTCTTGGCAAATGTAAGACAAAGCAGAGTTTTATAATCTTTTAATAACTGTGTAACAACTGTGGTATTGGTGTATCTCAAAGGTGGAATTCTTTTAAATTATGAAGGATTTCGAGTGCTTGAAATCCTATGGAAAGAAAGAAAAACCAAGTTTAAATATAGAGTATTAATTTATATTGAAAGAAATGTTTAAATCTTATGAGTATAAAGCTACATCCACTATAAGAACCTTACAGGTACAAACCAGTATATATTGAATTAAATCTATTTTATGGGGAATTAAGTAATTAAATACTAGGCAACACAGTCTTTGAAACTATGCCTAAAGAGTAAAGCAATAGGCCCGTCCGGCGTGGCTCAGTGGCTGAGCATTGCCCTATGAACCAGGAGGTCACGGTTTGATTCCCTGCCAGAGCACATGCCCGGGTTGCAGGCTCGATCCCCAGTCGGGGGCATGCAGGAGGCAGTGGATCAATGACTTTCTCATCACTGATGTTTCTATCTCTCTCCCTCTCCCTTCCTCTCTCTGAAATCAATACAAACATATATTTTAAAAAAGAGTAAAGCTATAGGAGTGGGACTTAGAGCAGGAGAAATCTCCTTTGCTGGGGCTATGCTATGGGAGCTAGTGGGTCAAGGTCAGGGGTGCTGCTAAGCATTCTCCAATGCACAGGGCAGCCCCCCCAAAACACCAAATTATGCAAAATTATAAGAATTCATTATACAAGAATTGTAAGAAAATGTCAATAGTGCCAAGGTTGAGAACCCTTTCCCTAGGGTAAAACGAGAACTGGAGACTCTAGCTCTCAGCTGATGAGAGCAACTGAGAGGAGGAAGAAACAGTGAAAGGCTAGTGCCCTTCCGACTCGGCCCCAGAGTGCTGTTTACTGTTTGGTGGGGTGCGGTTATTTTATTCCACATTCAGAGAATATTTTCCACAAGTGGTAGGAACAAGTATGGACTGTTACATATCACTTGTCTGCAAATTAGAGGATAATACACTTTCTGTAGAGTAAACTACAAAATAAAATGACTTCTGTGATCGACAGATTCTGGCATAGATGATGTAAAAAACTTTTGATAGGAAAAATTCTTTAGAGCAGTTTGTGGGTGTTCAACACTCGTGTCAATCAGAATCACTTCAGTGTTTAAAATACTGATGCTCATGCCCCACCCCCAGCTCCAGTGAAAGGAAATCTAAGAGAATCCCTGCCATAGATACTAAAGAATTCGGAGAACTAGGGCTCCATTTCTCAAGAAAGGGCTCAGGCTTCTAAAATCTTTGGAAACCTTCCTCCCCACACTGTGTTCCTGAAAAATCATCTAGAAATTTGAATATCCATCCAAAGAGCTACAGAATCTGAGCGATGTATTTACTGCTTCGCTGTAGTGTTCACGAATGCGCAAGTACACCAGGTCCAAGTGCCTAAATTATGTCCCCTTAGCCATCTAAGTTAGGTAATAACTGCATCTTTTCAAGGGCATCTGAGATGCTCCTTTCAGCAATAGCAGAGGATATTGTACATCCTTAAAATTTCTCAGTGCTTTAAATAACCAAAGGAGCATCCTGGGACCACGGATCTGCAGAAGCGAGCTACTTGGTCAAGCTGAGAAAATCAAGGTGCCTGGTTCCCAGCTCTGCCACTGTAGTCCTCTGAGAGCTCGTCTTAATTTCCTTACCTATAAAATGGAGCTGATAATGCCAGCCCTAAAGATACTAAGAGGCTGACTAATAACAGAAAACACCAGAAGATAAAATAATGGCGTGGTAAAGCCGCCTTGCTCTACAAACACGCAGCAACTTGATCATGCCACCGCAGTCAGAGATGGAAGCTAACTTTATTCAGCTCCTAAGGACCAGTGGTAGACACTAGCACAAAGTATATTAAAAGTGAGAATCTATGATTTCCACACAATTACTTCATTTCCTTGCCATATTCCCGAAACATTTGTTCTATAAATATGCTTTAAAAATACTCACATTTTCACTCACTGGCGTGGCTTTCGACGCAGAGCTACTCTTCCTGTTTGTGGAACGTAAAAGACAACATTTAGTCCATGATCACTTCCAATTCTGAAACATACCCTCTTTCAGTTAATGTTACCTCCAGTTTCCCAACAGGAAGATGAACATTTGTAGCCAGGTGCAAAAAACAGCCAGAAAGCCCAGCTGAAGTTCTTATATTCATAGACAATATTCACAGAGAAAGCCATGCAACAAAGTATTAGTGTGTGTGAAGCCCTGTGTAGCTGGTTGGATGTAGGAAAAGGCCAGCAAACAACAAACGAACTCTGAAGGAGTTGGGTAGCAAGCTTCCCAGGATCGCAGATGTCCCCTTGAAAACGAGGGAGACATTTCTGCCAGGAACTGAAAACAGATCCTTATTGATCTGGGAAGCTCGCCCCCAGGAGAGTTATGGCCTTAAGGAAAAATGTGAAGCATACAGCTCAGAACAAAGCCACTTGTTCTTGCGCATTTTACGGTTTCTGCTGATCACTATCTTCCACACCTGCTTTTCTGTGGCTCACAATAAAAATCGCTGGATGGTGAGGAGGGTGGCTGAAGCGCCTCCAGAGCCTCAACCCTCTGCATCTCCACCTAAATTCTACATTCTCCGTGTCTCGAGTTTTCTTCCCGTCCTGCGAGCACAACAGTTGGAGCCTAGGCCTAGTATACTAATGATTTTTGTGGAATATGCAAAACAGATGTACTAACATTTAACATTTTGAAAGCTTGAGATTATAATCTCAAATTTCATTTTTTCCTTAGAAAGAAAGTTCTATGTGGTGACTATGGCTATGGGCTGAATTGTGTGGGTGCATCCCCCCCACCCTGTTTTGTTCACTGCTGTATCACCAGTCCCTAGGACAGTGTTGGGCAGAGAATCGGTATTTAATTAAACGTAAAAATGACCACTGAGTAAAATTTTACTTGGAAAATTTCAATTTAGCAAATTACAGAAAATATATTTTTAAAAGGAATACTATGGAAATGCCTATGAAGTCAAATTAAGAATGTGTTTCTTCTCTAGGTAATTAAACATCATTGACAAGTGGGCATGAGGTATGAGCTGGGATGTATTTCTCCATGAACCTGAGTCACAGTCACTTACCATAGGATTAAAAACCTTCACAAATTAACTCAGCTTCCCACTTTGGACTTTAAATAGATGATTAACAGAAAATTTATTGATATGGGAGAGAGGCATGCATTTTAAGAAAGTATACTTACTGGAAGGAGGTTTCTTCTACAAAAAAATAAGTATATATCATTAATACAAGAGTTCATATGGCATGATACAGATTCATATAAAAATGAGTTTAAGCTTAATTTCTTTGTCTCAATCTTGATTCTCACTTGCTGGCATTTGTATCTTCTAAATCAAGGTTGCCAAACTTTTTCTGCAAAGAGCTACATGGCAAATATTTTAGGCTTTGTGGGCCAAGAGGTGAAATTGAGGATATTACGTAGGTAATTATATAACGAGAGAAAACAAACTTCCAAAAATTTTTATTTATTTAAATTTTTAATATAATAATAAAGTCTGGTGTCTACTAAACAGAAGAACGGAATTCTTTTGAGGGAGATAACATTTCTTTTAATTGGGACTCAAGGTTAGTGTTCCCTATTATCAAAAAATTGCAAATGTCCATCTTTAAAAACCATTCTTAGCTCATGGGCCATAAAGAAACAGGTGGCAGGCCAGATTCGGTCCACAGGCTGTCGCTGGCCCAACTCTGTCCAAAATGCAAGTTCAAGAAAATGGTTCTCTTACATAGATTTTCTGCCAGATGAAAATGGGAGTCACATTCTTAGGGAATGAACTACTAATACTCACACCAAATCATTAATTCAGTATTTTAAGAAAAAAAAAAGTGTTTACCAAATCTTCAAAAAATGCTTATATATTATTTGCAAGTAGAGAGAAAGATGACAAGAATTTGAGCACTCTTTTGTCTGTACTTTCACTGGTGACCAGCAGGGGGACTCAGCAGATTCCAGTCACAAAGTTACGCTGGACTAGACTGTGGCACTACTATACGAAAGGACAAGTGTTTATTCACAGAACGCTTCATTTTAAAGAATATCCTTGAAACCATGTTCATGGAAATATTTTATGACAATATCCACTTATAGGTATTATTAGAAACCCCTTTTCAGTTTTTTTATTTTGGTATAAAATATTTTTTTATACCTAAACTCCCAAATTAATGTTCGCTGTGAAACAGTGGATCTAAAACTAGCTTACGCTGTAAATTTATGTATTATTCCATTAAAAATTCTACTTTAGGAAGGAAAATGAATTAAGAGAATAAAACAGATTATTTTTAAATCCCACACATTTACATCAAACCAATCACCAAATGGGGGGCTAGAATTATAAGACTTCTAAACACGAAGAACTAAAAACCTTGCATGGAAGGAACTCTAGTATAACAGGTGTCTAGTTTTTACTGGGCAATCTCTTCTAAATACAGTTGTGCTAAATTTGACATTCAACATTCCACTGTTCTCTATTATAAAACAGCTGACAGATTTCAATGAAATTTCTCATCATAAAACTAGAAATCAATTTACCGCTTGAGATAAACAATTCCTAACTTAAAAGGCTCTTCAATACATGTACATGTCCTATTAACAGCCATCCACGTGGACTATCTCTTGGTATCGCTGCACTCCGCCACTCCAGAGAGCCTCCTGCGGATTCGGCGGTGTCCCGGGAACCTCGGGCTGGGGCAGCTCTGCCTTGCTCCCTATGTTTACCAAGGCGCTTCATGACTCACCTGCATGTCATCTTGGATATTTTCTACTACTGAAAAAGCAATGAAAAATATTCTCCACAGTTTCTTAAGAGAAATGGTGTCTCATAAGAAAACTCTCTGTCCACAGGAATTTATCTAGCCAAGGCTGAAATTCACTTACTTGAAAAGTAGCCTTTCCTCTGAGCATAGCACACGCCAAGGCCACAAATGGAAATCACTAAGGCAACGACTACCACAGCCGCTATGATGCCACTGACGTTGAGATCATCTGGAATGCAAAATAAACCACGAATTCATGTCAAACAGACGGACAGATGTAGTCATTAAACTGAAAAAGTTCAAGAAAGCTCCCATTTGCAGCTATACCATAGACAGATTTATGAATTCATTTTATTTTATTTTAAATATATCTTTACTGATTTCAGAGAGAGGGAGAGAGAGAGATAGAAACACCAATGATGAGAGTCATTGATCGGCTGCATCCTGCACACCCCCTACTAGGGACTGAGTCTACAACCCGGGCATGTGCCCTGATTGGGAATCGAACTGGTGACCTTTTGGTTCTTGGGTCGGTGCTCAACCACTGAGCCACAATGGTGGGCAACTTTAATTTTTAAACTAACTTATACAGAAAGAGCAGATATATGGAAATCATGTTCAAATTAAAGTGGTACTACTAGCAAAACAAACTATCAAATTTTATTTGTTATATATTTACTGCATGTTGGGAAAATGTAACTAGGATGTCAAAACCATAACATCACATATTATTACTTCTTAAGATTGGCTAAATTAGGCATTAAAATTAAACATGGCCATTTAAAGGAAAAAAGTAGTAATAATATGAGTGGAACAAGGTTACAGTAAAAACCATGAGGCCAGTATGTGAATGAATGAAGTTAGGAAAACACTGGATCGTGTTAATTTTTGTAACAGATTCTGATTAATTTTCCTAATGATATGTATCCCTGAATTTAAAAAACACCAGAAATTCAAACTTACTGTGGAAATTAGACTATTGAATATATTATACTTTAGGATATCCTGAAGTCTAATAAGATTATATTTTCTTTAAAAAACAATGCTGAGCTTAATCATACATAGACAATGCACATTACTGCACACATATCTCTATACCCTTAAGTACACTGGGAAAATGAATTTCTTCAAAAAGCTGAGGACAAGCTTCTGAACCAAGGGGAACCCTCAGACTTCTGCTCCAGGGTGCACAGTGACCTTTAACCCCTTGGGTACCATCTCAGCTCAACCTTCTCTATTACACAACCACTTTAAAAATGCATGGCTTTCACACAGGAAGAATTAAACCAAATTATTAAAAATAAAATGAAAAATTAATATGAAACTCTTATAATCTGAAAAGATCGAGCACTAATTTTATTGAACTTTAAGTTTATTTTGTGTAACATAATGTATGGCAGCACCTTTTATAGCAACCTAGATCCATAATTATATTCAACGTCTTTTTCTGAGAGCCCATTTTGCAGTAAGTCTAAGCATAGTACTTCAGAAGATCGACAAAATTAACAACAATAACCGATAACAAGTAAACAGCAACACTTACATAGCGCTCACAATATGCCAGCGCTACTCTAACACTTTCAAATATTACTTTTATCTTCATAACAACCCTGTGAGGATGGTATATTAATATCTCCATTTTGGGGGAGACCGAGGCACAGAGGTTAAATAGTTTGCCTAAGAGTATGTAGCTACTGTGTGGCAGGGCCCGAATTCAAACCCCCATACTGAGTCCTTGACCCTGAGTAATTTACAAGACTCACCTTTTGTCTGAAAGAAGATTGCTCTCATGAGCACAGTGTCAAAACAGTTATTTGAAAAATCTGTCAAGTATAATAAAGCTAAGTATTTTTGGCTTGTTTGCGAGATGGATTAAAAACAATATCTTTGCTCCTTGCAACACATATGTCAAGCTAGTCTTAAATACTCCCTCCAGTTTTTCCTCCCAAGCACTCAGCCCTTTCCCACTCCTTGCTCCTTCCACCCCCAGCCACTTGCACCTTCTAGGTGCAAGCCATTTGCTCCCCTCGGTATTTCATGCTTACCTACTTGCATTCGTTTCCCAGGGCACCTGCGAGATCCAACAGAATTACGGGCTTCGCAGTAATACTCTCCAGTGTCCAGTTTTGAAACAGTGTTAAATTGCTGGAATTTTGTAGAAGAATAAAAAATAAATGTATTTTTTAAGCAATAAGTCTGCAAGTAGACTCCTAAAATAACCACGTCCTTTGAATTTTTGCAGTAAGTTGGTCTTTCCTTTTCAATGACTTAAGACTTTATATTTTTACTATCAATTGAAAAATCTTCCGTGCCTTCAAGGAGTAAATAGCTAGGCCTCCTGCTTAATTTGACAGAGAAAGACTAATGGAGAAGCGTCTTTTTGTGTGTGATACTGTGAAAGATGTGCAGTTACGAAAGCAGTGGGCATTTTTTACAGTTTATAGTACACTGTGGTATTAAGTATTCCAGGTATTTCTATTCTCCTAGGAAATTCCATTTGTAAGTGAGGCCTCCTTTCTGAAGTCGCAAGTGAGTCCAGTGCAGCAGCAAATATTAACACGCCCTCTAAAGAGCCAGAGTTACCACCAGGAAGAAATGTGGAGCCTGGGGAAATCATAATTGATGTAGTTCATGGGATTATAAATCCTATCAAGCTGTAGAATTTTTGAAAATTCTGAAAACATAAAGTCCAACCCTTGCTCCTTCCACTCCCTGCTAAAGCTACTGAAAGGAAAGACTTTGATATAATAGGTTCATACTTGCTATTTGTAGTTTTATCCCCTTGGGGAATTTCCGGGAGGGAGTGGGGCCTTGACTAGGTGGGGACCCCGCCAGGACCAGCACAGGGTAAGAGTGGCTCAGAATAGTCCCTTCAGTGCCCACCTGTCACGCCCTCAGTCCCGCAGCCATCGCTGCTGATGGCCACGAGAGCCATGGACCTCTAAGGAGCACCTCCTCATGGTCTCTGATCTTCATGCAACATTATGTTCCTAAAAATAGCCAAGGTTCTTATTTACTAACACCTTTCCTCTCTCGCTTTGCTTTACCCACTACCTGCCTACTTGTCCTTTCTGGGTACTTCAACACAGTGAGATTAAAGTTTTTCCTCATTTATTTTAACTCTATGGAAGCATCTCTCTCACTTCTCCAAAGCCAGGACACTTAAAATATTCACCATGAGCTCAAGGCCGAGGTATGCACAAACCATTAGACTACACCAATGACCTTCCAGCACATTATAACTGATGATTAAAAGGAAGCCACTGGCATCCGAACACTGGCATCTTGGTTGCTCATTTCTCAGCAAATAACCCAGTTCTGCCCTTGACATCACAAGATATTTCAAGGGCAGCTGAGGAAAGTGAATCTATATCATTTCAGACTCGCCTTGGGGCTTTTATCACCTGCTCTGAGAAAAAATAAATTTGAAAAGTAAATATAGCAAAGTGTGACGGCAGGTTTTCTGCCCAATTTCTCCGTGTCAAGTCACTGGGACCTGCTGACTGGCGCTGGTGACGCCCTCGGGGCCGGAGCGGGGCCTTCCCCAAGGCGTAGCTGCATCTACTGATATGCTTTGTTATTTACCAGAGAGCCGAGTTTTTAATTGGTATCATGCACTTGCAGACTGAAGGCATAAAAGGAAACATTATACCCTCCTTTTAAAATTCATCTAATGCTTTCAACATAAACATAAATTTCAAAAACTAAAGTAAAATTCATCTAAATTATTGGGGGGATGGAGCTGAAAGAGTACACAGAGGGGAAAAATGGTGATGGAAAAATAAAATAAATCATCAAAGTTATTATTACCATGCCTTTAAGATTTTTTGATAATGGTTGTGGTAGTGATTCTGCATTATTGGAAATCAGATATTTTTAAACTGATGTTATATTTCTTTGAATGAAAACAATAAACTTCAAGCCTAATGATCTTTATTTTTACTTCCACCTCTACCCTGAAAAGTCAGAGACAAACAAATGTAAAAACACTTTTATTTTTAAATGTCATTAACTTTAAAGAGCTTATCTGTTAGGTTTCCATCAGTATTCCTAGAAAGGCTCTTCAATCAGTCAGAAAATCTGGACAAAATCTAAAGTCATAGGTTCTTCAGTCACTGAGCCAATGGTTGATGATACAGTTATGGAAGAGTTTAATGACACAGTCACGCTATCATAGGTTGGGAAAAGTCACTATTCCTACGTGGCTGGCACTGGGGTAAGGGCACCCCCACCCCAGAGGGGTTTTGTGCATCTCCCTGATACTGTAAATAGGGGCCCGTACTTACTGCCTTTCCAGGCCAGGAAGGCAGCTGCGGTGAACTACCTGATTCGTCGTCGTGCGTCAGACGTGCTCTGTTTCAGGTCTCTGTGCAGACCTGTGTGCAGTCCCATCTCCCGTCGCAGCCCTTTCCCTCACTTCTCTGTGGATGCACCCCCATCTTTCCTGCCACCCTCTCCTCTCTCCACTTAATAAGCAATGATATCAGCCCTCTATCCTACATAATTTTAGCTCCAATCATTTTTTGCCCCTCCAAATGCAGAACAGTTATTATTAGGCCAAGGCTTGCAATGCCCTCACCAAAGTTCCAGATTTAGTGTTCATTGTGTACGAGCTGTTGGTGGTCTGGGTGTCAAGCTTCGGATTCCCCGACAAACGGGTGCCATCCTTAAACCACGCATACTCAGGAGCTGGAATCCCTTCTTTGTCTTTACATCGCAGCTCCACCACGGTTCCACTCAGAGCAGAATTGGGTACTTCGCAGGATGGCACTCCTGGGGCCACTGAGGGATGAAGTCAAATGGCATTGGTTACTTATAAGCTAAACAAGGATTTTAACAGACAGAAGAAGATTTATCAGGTACCCATGATAGAGATTCGCTACTTGTTCCAAAGACCTACTGCCCAGCTTCGTGGGCACATAGCTCACATTTGCCAGCCTCCTTGCTGCCAGGTGGGGTCATAGGCACAAGCTCTGTGCCATCTCTAGGCCTGATCCATAAAAGCCTCCTGCACGATTCTCCATTCACTCACCCCCCACCCCCTCCCACTGCCAAGTAGGTGTCAACACCCATGGTGACCACAGAAAGCCATGTATTGAAGATATGAGACCTATCAGGTTGGGTTTCTAAAAATCTCATGAAGTAGAATAACATTGCTCCACCAAACTGCCCCCGCCATTCAGACTTGACCTACATGAGAAACTTCTATCACCTTAAGCCACTCGCTGAGAGTGCATTTCTGTTATAACAGCAACCATGGTGTTAGCTCATATAGCAACTACTCTTTTTTGGGTAAACAATCTCTACTTTTCCCGTCACCAATGATTTTAACGTTTTTATTACCAACTATATTCAAAAGAAATCAACCAGAGTATATTTTTTCAGGCCCAGTAGGATTGTATTCTGCCTAGAACTGGCCAAATTAGTGAATACTTGAGTTAGGTTATTCTGGTCCCAGGGATTTGTAAAGTCAACCAGACTTTACTAAGCAGCTAAAATCCAGGAAAATCCAGAATTCTAAGTGGTGGGCAGAATTCTGAGTCCCCCAAGTTCCCCAGCCCTGGTACCTGTAGGCTTTCTCTCATTCATTCCATCAAACACTGATCTAGGTACTGCTCTGAGGGATTTGGGAGATGCAGTTAAGGTCCCAAATCCACTGTCCTTCCAATTGGGGCTGACCTAACCAATGACCCCTTTAAAAAAACACTTTAAAAGTGGTGTTTTCTGGCTCATCACAGAAGGGAAAATGAAAGATTCAAAGCACAAGAACGATTAGATATTCTTCTGTGAGACTGAAGATTTCAGCCTCGTGAAACCCTGAGCAGAGAGCCAGCCCGGTCACGCTGGCCTTCTGATCCGCAGAACCGTGAGCTAATAAATCGGTGGGGCTCCTACGCCTCTAAGTTTGCTATCATTTGTTACGAGCAACGGAAGGCCAATACACCAGCTCACTCTCCTGCAAGGTTTTCTGAATTTCTTCTGTACAAGTACATCACTAGTATTTTAGAAAGAGGATGAACTATTAAAACAAAAATAGTAGTGATTTTTCACTCCTGTACCAACAGTAATCATGACTTGTTAATATCCATCAGGGATTTTTACAGTAATTAGCTGTAGGGCTTTAGGGTTAACCCCACCAGGCTCCAAATCCTGGCCCAGACACTGACTAGCTGTGCGGCCTTGGGAAAACCATTTAACTTTGTTTCCTCATCTGTGAAAATCAGGTTGTCAGTGACGATGAAGTAAAATTACATATTTGAAAGGGCCTGACACATACTAGCTGCACAATAAATCCTAATTTAATTCCTTTACCAGGTAGTTTCTAATACTTCCCATGGCCTACCTTTCTGTTTTACTGCTTTTTTGTATCATCTCACGGGATACTATTTTATGTGGTAGGAGAAACACTACATATGCTAAAAGCTATTGCAAAATAAACTCTCGGGGGAAATGCTCCTACGTACAGTGTAGGACCATTAAGACTGACCTCAATCTTGAACAAAGAGAGGTTTTGTGATAATGAATTAGTCACAGTAACATTTCATGAGCCAACGAGGTGAAGAGAGAAAGAGGGGAGACTCTGCAGGAAAGGAGGTGCTGGCGGTCTCTGTGACTCAGCTGCCTGGGCCCCGAGGTGCCTCGCTGCCCCCAGGGCTGGGTGATGGGAAGGAGGGTGGGGACAGAGTAATGGCACAGACACAGGGACATCACCTAATACTTCCAGAGTGATGGTGTCCTCTTCTAGGCTTTGGCCTTTCTCAGATGGGGTACTAACTTCACAGCGGTATTTCCCAGCATCGGTTCTTGTAACATTTTTGATCCTGATACTGAAATCCATCATCTGAGCGCGATCTTTAAATTCACCTTTTAGAAAAAGAAGACGATGTTGGTAACAATGAGAGTAATTTCTATATGCTACCTACCTCAAGTCGCTTTATTCAGTAACCCAAGTATTTTCCTGTTGGTAAACTCAGTCTAAGAACTTAAAACTTGTATGCGGGCGCCGCTACTTCAAACTTTTTTTTCTTTAATGGCATATTGTTCACAAAAAAACATTCGGTGCCATATTCCTATATTTTAAAGAATTCAGCCCCCCCTCCTGCCTCACGCCCTTGCTAGTAGTATGTTTATAAAACGATTCCTGCCTTCAAAAGGGACCGAAAGCCTAGTGTCATGAGCTGGAAAGTAACTTTCCCTGCTGTGCGGGGGCCCACGTGACACTCCACAGAAGAAAAGGTGAGGGCGTCTTAAAAACATTCTTTCGGTTAGTTTTTATAGTAACGTGTATGGAATTGAAATAGCGTTTCGTATCGTGTTTAGGTGCCGGAATTGGCAAATGTAGAAAACTCAAGTCGAGGTAGCTGTGCTATTAGCACCCTAAAGTCTGTAGCCTTATCTTGACAGGTAAGAACCAGAGGGATATATGAAATATTCTGGAAATACTTTAAGCATTTGTTTACTTATGTAATTCTTTAAAATCAAAGTAATGCACACTATTTTAAAATAACGTGTTTATTATACTTGTTAAATTATATTTCCAACTTTAAAAATTGTAATGGCCCATTTCAATCATACACAAAATTAGAGAGTGTAGTAAAATGAACCTCAGTGTACCCATCACCCAGCTAACAGCAATTAATGCATGGCCGTCTTATGGTATCTATACCCTAACCCCCGAGTTATTTTGAAGCAAATCCCAGACATCCAAGCATTTCTTTCATCCATTACTATCAATACTTTAAATCAAATGCTCATCACATCTTCAGTAGGAAGAACAGGGAGTAGAAATATAAAACAAAAAATAAAAAAGGAAAGCATTGGATAAATGTAGTTGTATTTACCCTCCTCTAAGTCTTAACTCCCTAAGTGTCTCAGTGATGGCCTAGCTTTCTGATGGAGATACGGAAATATGGGGAAATTATTATAACTGAGCAGTGACCCTGCCTCTCGTCTGCCTTTCTCTCAAGACTTTAATCTACTGGGCCAGTAAGAACAATTGTATTTTACACCCTTGAGGACTGAGCTGAGCACCCAAGGGTCCGGGGCTTCAGTGGAGGTCACCTACTTCTGTGTTGTGTTCTCTGGTTTTGTGGCTGTGTCCTAGGGCTCCATCACTCACTGTTGGTTTCATCTCACACTTACAAAAACACATTTTCAGTAGCCAGCCATGTCCTGCTCTCATTTGCAAACTAAAGGATCCCAGCTGCCCTTGGTGTTCATTCTCTGGCTCTCTCCTCATGTCCACAGCTTCTTACCTCTTAGAGACTGTTGATAGTAGACAAAGGAGACACTCTGCCCCAGTTTCTTCCACTCTAATCTGGAGGCTGCGGACTTCCGTGGGTATTTACAGGTTAAAATCACCTCTAGAAACAACAACAAAAATACTTATTAGCAAATTGTCCCTCTGAAATTATATTTCACTTAATTAAGCAATGAATTTTTAACATCCTTCAGTTATCCCTTTGTATTTCTATTTATTCCATTCATTCATTCATTCATTCATTCATTCATTCATTCATTCATTCATTCATTCATAAGTTCCCTCAACATGTACCACATTGGCTTAACCCAAAGGTAAATTGAAAACATTATAGCTCCTCCCCATAATAACTGTGAGACACTCTGTTACTTTCCCTAGTTCTTCAGCATCAGCTACCGTCTGTAAAATGAGATAGTATCTCAAATTCTTGTGAGTCTTCAAATACAGTAATACATGCACAGTAAGTACTTTAAAATGGCAGCAATGACTGATTATCTTTTTCTTTCCAGGCTCAGACCTCAAGGATTTTATCGTCTGGAAAAAGAGGCAATTAAGAGAACGCAATTTCAGCCCAGTGTGATGAGCGCCAGCCTGGAAGCAGCAGAGCGCGCTCCCCCCGAGTGCCTAGGAGGGGCACCAGCTCCCGCCCAGGCCACGCTGTGGACACCCACAGACGCTCCGCAACAGGCTGCATTCTCACTCAGCCCCTTCTGGGACTGCCCGCTCTACAAACAGATCAACACAAACCCAGTATTGTCTTCTAACAAACTGCTGATTCCTACTCCTTCCCTCAATCCACATACATTATGTTAAAATTCTCTCCACACCTCAGATTCTGATATTAAGCAGATTTGATGACATCTTAAAAAACAATTCAGGATATTACATGACACAGTAGATTAGAGAGTAATACTTATAATACACACAGGTATGGGCAAAAAGCCTGTATAAATCTGTATGAAAATATTAACCCAGTGATGACTTCTGTGATAGAATTATGAATTTTCTTTTTGTTATATGTAATTTCTAATGCTTTTCAGCTCCACATGTATTGCTGGAATTACAGAAATAGAATAAAAGGGAAGGAAAATAGAAAGGAGGAAAAGAAAGGCAAGAAAAACACACAGTTGTTTTTTTCCAAAGATGCCTAAAGGTTTAAAGGCAGGTTTTACGTTACAGAGACATCATTTTACAGGCATGTTTACAATTCTACTGCAAAGACAAATGCGTGCTGAGGAACTTGTCTGAGGAAACACAGTTCTATTCTGTTGATTAAGGAGAATGGGTGGTGACTTCCCGGAGTCTTGAGTTTTAGATAGGTTTCCTTCCCGTATTTTGTTGAGTTTCCAACAATTAAACACACACCCACACTCATTTTTTAGCCCATACTCCTCGGTCCTAGGAATAAATTTACACTCAATTGTTTTAACTAGACACACGCACACCCCTCTTGGTGAGTTCTTCCTAATTTCTGTCCTCACGGCTCTATGGGGATCCTCTGCAGAAATTATATTCGAAAATGCAACCAGTGATTTTCCTAAGTGCAGGGGACTCCACTCCAGCCTCACTGGCACTGAGCACGTCAGCTGGGGAGGCATGGTCTACCCAGCTTGTCTAAAGCACACTGAGCACCTACTGTGTGCCCGGCAGCGCTCTGGGGTCATGTCAGTGAGCAACACAAAGGGCTCTGTCCTTTCGGAGCTTACAATTTGCAGGGGGTCAGGCACACGAGAAACTTCGTAAAGTAAATTATACAGTATGTTAGGAGGTGATACGTGTTATGGAAATAGAGTAGATCAGAACTGATACTACTGAGTAGTTGGTAAGAATTACCTGATATTGCTTCTGTGGAGAAAAGTATGCTATTAAACCTCGATTTATAGCTCTCGGGGTTGGACACTCTACATAAGGCTGTTCATATAATTTACAAGCCTCGCAGAGCTGCCCTTTTTTCAGTCTTATTCTGCTTTTGGCACCACTATGGGAAGTGATACAGAACAGCAGTACTGAAAAGGAGGAATTAATTCATGATTTACTGACGTCACAGTGACAGAGACAAAAAGCTGAATGAATTGGATGGAACACACATATACACAAATTACAAAATATTTTTGACTGCAAGTAAAATTAAGTTACTGCCTAAAATATCCTATAACTAAAATGTGGAAGAAGGTAGAAATTTATTTTTGCTTTATGGAGAGCCAAGTTGGAATGACTGGGGCACAGAGAAAATGGAATCAAAATGTAATTCTTAATTAAAAGGAGCAGAGGTGAGNAAATATCCTATAACTAAAATGTGGAAGAAGGTAGAAATTTATTTTTGCTTTATGGAGAGCCAAGTTGGAATGACTGGGGCACAGAGAAAATGGAATCAAAATGTAATTCTTAATTAAATTAAAAGGAGCAGAGGTGAAACAAAATGATAGAAAATATTTATTTGGGAGCAAGACTAACATTTGATTGCAATAAACTGTAGAAGGATTTTCCATAGTAAACACAAAACACTCATTAAAATGTAATGTAAAGGCCTGGCCGAGTGGCATAGTTGGCTGGAGCATTGTCCTGTACACCAAAAGGTTGCAGGTTCAATTACTGGTCAGAGCACATACCTAGGTTTCGGGTTCAATGCCCAGCTGGAGTGCATACGGGAGGCAACTGATGTCTCTTCCTCAAATCAATAAACATATCCTCGGGTAAGGAGTGAAAAACATACTTAAATAAAAGTAATATAAATGGCACAGGGTTTTGGCCTGGAGCGATGGAAATGTTTTGAAACTGGATAGAGGTGCTGGTTTGCACAACATCGTGAATGTTACCCAATGCCACGAAATTGTTCACTTCAACAGGGTGGATTTTATGTTATGTGAATTTCACCTCAGTGAGTTTTTAAAAAATAATGGAAGACTAAAGAATATAACTTTGGCATTCTAATTCAAGTATCNAGGGTGGATTTTATGTTATGTGAATTTCACCTCAGTGAGTTTTTAAAAAATAATGGAAGACTAAAGAATATAACTTTGGCATTCTAATTCAAGTATCATGGCACAGGGCTGAGGGGCAGGGTGGATGTATATCCACGGTATCCAGTTGCATCCAACAGTAAAAAACCCCAGGAAAGTAAAAAGTAGGAGACATGAACTTTTCTCCCTTTATCCCTCATGAACATCCTGACCTATCTTCCTTTCACTGCTCACGCTTTTGGCCTTTCCAGTGTCCTTGGCACCTCCTCCAGCCCTGTAACGCCCTTCCCATCAGTGCACTCCCTAGTCCCCAAATACTCCCAACCATTGAATCCCCATCCCCACCTCTGCCCATTTAAAACTAAGCCATTATGCCTGCTGATGTTTCTCTCTCTCTCCCTCTCATTTCCTCTCTCTGAAATCAATAAAGATATATTTAAAAACAAACACCTAAGCCATTATGAGTATTTTATTAGCTTAATCATGTAAAATATTAGGACTTAAGTGACTTATTAAGTGATGCTCTCTCTTTTTTAAAAATATATCTTTATGGATTTCACAGAGAGGAAGGGAGAGGGAAAGAGAGAGAGAACCATTAATGATGAGTCATTGATCGGCCGCCTCCTGCGGCCCCCGACTGGGGATCGAGCCTGAAACCCGGGCATGTGCCCTGACCAGGAATCGAACTTCGACCTCCTGGATCATAGGTTGATGCTCAACCGCTGAGCCACACCAGCCGGGCTAAGCGATGCCCTTTTTGAATGACAGGCTGCCTCTTATTATGGCATATTTTTACCAAATAAGCACATATAACACAAAGTGCCAGGTACTATCGTAAGCGCTGATGAAATACTAATTCATTTAATTCCTCCCCACCCAGTCCTCTTCTATAATCTATCTTTCCTTGAAATCTCTCTCTCTCCAACTCCGGGAACCTAAGACACTCTGGAAGAATAGGAATCAGATGTTCAGGACTTGTTTCTAAATACCTGCAATCTCTGCCTAAACGAGCATATTTAAGACAGAGTCACTCTTCTATTTGCCTAGTATTATTGTGTTCTAGGTAAAAGAGCCTTCAGGAAAGTAGTGGATAGTTAATATTTGAGGTAAATGTACAAAAGCCCTTATAAATTTTGGGATATTTGAACCTTAATTTTTTTTTTTTTTAATATATCTTTATTGATTTCAGAGAGGGGAAGGGAGAGGGAGAGAGAGAGAGAGAAACATCAATGATGAGAGAGTCATTGATCTGCTGCAGCCCGCAACCGGGGCATGTGCCCTGACCGGGAATCGAACCCTGATCGCCTGGATCCTAGGCGGATGCTCAACCGCTGAGCCACGCCCGGCTGGGCTTAATTTTTTTTTTTAATTGTGGTAAAATACACATAATTTAAATTTAAAATGTTAACGATTTTTAACTGTACAGTTCAGTAATGTTAAGTATATTCACACTGTTGGGCAACCAATCTCCAGAACTTTTTCATCTTGCAAAACTGAAACAATATACCCATTAAACACCAACTATTCCTTCTAAATATTTTGAAGAAGCTAAAATAAATAACAAAATGGCACCCCCAAATAGGCTATATTAATGCCATCTTAAATACATTAAATATCATTAAATATCATAAGGCTCGTGGTGTTAATTTCCATTCACCGTGTCTAGCTGGCTGGAAACTTTGCAGGATCACCATCTCCCCAGTTTCACAAATTAGATTTGTTTTGTTGCAGATAACTGACGCAGTAAGAGACCTTTTTTGTTTATCGGGTCTTTCATCGCATATCCAAAATTTCCATTGAGGAGGTAAAGAAAATGTTCCCAAGGTATAAATGGCATTTTAGTGTGAGGTGAGGCAGGGGGTGTGGACAAACAGAAGGATAACATCATGTATGTCATAGTCTTGAGTCATTTAAACAAAACAGTCTGTGAAAATCAGGAAAGTACTCTACCTTGGTACTCGATTGCTGTGATTACTTGATGGTCTTTTGGGGCAGACGATCCATAGGCCTTATGACCTGGAAGATGAAAACAGATAGGATAATTAAAATAGTACAAAAGATCTTTTTTAAATGTTTGAATGGGGTGCAATAGTAAAGAAAACTGGCCTCAAGTTTGGTGACAGTCTCACATAATTCATAGCACATAAGTTTTAAAGTATCAAAGTAAGAAAAACCGAGCCAAGCCATTATATGTCTCTTCCATGTTCTGTATTGTGGTTTTACCCTTTAAGCATTTCCTAAAGCAGAACCTATAAATCTATTAGGGCCCCCACCAGAAACAACACACTTTCACAAGCCCGACTGTTAAACAAGAGTGTATGTCCTTAATTCAGCTAATATGTGATCTAGGGTCACAGGATATTGTCCCCCAAATAAAAACTAATAACTTTTAACACCTCATTCAAGGGTATAAACTGCTTTGCATACTTAGCCCTGACTATACCTACATCATCTGGAATGGGTCATTATGGTGATTATGGTGGCTAATGTGATCTGATAAGTTATACAGTGACGATGATGATGGTGACATCATCATTCCCATAATCTTATACAAATTTTTCATTTAAAAAAAGTGCACATATATACTCTTTAAAAATTCTATAAAGTTCAATATTCAGAGTGACCTGGTGTGCTAGACATTACTTTCTTTTAAGTTTTTTAAAATTTATTTTTCAATTACAGTGACATACAATATTCTATTAGTATCAGATATACAACATAGTTATTAGGCATTCATGTACCTTATGAATAGACATACTAAGACCTGAAGCAAGTAGCGGAACCAGGAACTCAATCTTTCTGATTCAATCTTTGATACGTACCACTTTGTGTTATGAATGTCATCCTACAGTCCAGTTTAATAACCACATTTAAAAATAATCTAAATCACTTCCTGGAAGTATACATCTCTGAAATACAAACATTACAGGGGAAATATTTTTACCTGGTGTATTCTCTGATATAGCCTGAAAACCTAGAACAGTGCTGGGCATAAAGCAAGGCACAGTAAATATCTGTTGAACAGATAAACAGTACCACTCCATCCATATTGTATGCCATGGAGAGGAATTCAGTAAATGGGGTCATATCAAACCAACACTAATGAAGGGTTCCTGAAGGCAAGCAATTCTTTGGGGAAGGTGTTGTAAGTATACAATACTGGCTGGTATTAATTAATTACTTCAAAATAAAAAAACTAAGCATTCTCGCTGGTTTGCTTGAGTAAACAATTTAGGTCAAATGATCTAACTGCTGTTCTTCACCCCTAAAATCATATATGAAGTAACCTAAGGCCACAGTAAGCTGATCATAAAAATCTTAAGGTTATTTCTTGAATATATTTCTACAATTTACTAGAAATGCTGTTTCTCTGTTCATGCTATCATCTGCCTTCTGTCTTCATTCGATCCACAGACCCTGTTTGCACCGAGGAACAAACCTACCTCACTGTTGCCATATCCAATGGACAGTTTTCAGTGTTTATCTTACTTGATCTCTCTCTGACATCTGACTCTGTTGACTTCCTTGGATTGTATATGTTTCCCTCCTAGTCTTCATTCTCTCTCTTGTGGGTTCTTCCCATCCATCCATCCATCCATGCAGTCAGAAACTGCTTTTCTGACTCAACTAACTCCTTTCTATATAATCTCTTATACTCTCATTGACTCAACTACCATTTACTTGCTCAAAAGTTCTAAATCTGTACCTCCAGCTCTAATTTCTCTACTGAGATTAAATCCATAAACTCCTCTTTCTACAGGATATCTATATCTCCATTCCCTGTAAGTACCACAAACTCATAAGAAAATATAAACTCATATGTTTACCCCCAATCTTTGTTTTCTTTCTACAAATCCCATCACAGTGAAAGACACCACAGTCCACGTGGTCACTCATGCCAGAAACTCAGGTTTTGCCCATGATGTAACATCGTTCCATCTATTTACTAATCAGTTCCCATCTACAGACTGAGAACTGCGTGTGATCCAAGACAACGTTTTGGAATATCTGCCCTTCCTCACCTTCATGCAGCCAACGGCTCTTTGCCTTAGGAGGGGATATAGGTAGCCAAAGCCAGAGAGAGAAAAGCAGGGTATTTCCAGCCTTTCCACATCTAGAAACCTTGGCCATGAAGGAAACGGAAATGACTCATAGCTTATACAAACATTAAGAAAAATCATACTTTCTCCCCAGCCTTAATAGAGTGGAGGAAGTCAGTTGGAGAACATGGATTTTAATGGACCCTTGAAAAATAACAATAGATAACATTTATGAAGCACTTAGATGCTAGGCAACATCCCTAGTCTTTACAAATGTTAACTTACCTAGCTCTCACAACAATTCTCTGTGGCAGGGTACCATTTTTATTCACATTTTTTTCAGGTGAGGAAACAGAGGCACAGAGAGGGTAAGAAACTTGTCCATGGTTATACAAGTAGTAAGTGGTGAAGTTGGGATTTGAACTCAAGCCAGCCTATATCCAAAGCCACTTCCATGCACAACCACTCCCTTAAGCATTAACCCCTAGGGATAAATAACATCTAGGCCTCAGCTGTGTTTCAGCTCCAAGACCAGAAAAGCAGCAAAACCAGACAAGCAATGCTATGGTGGACATTAGGACCCTGCCCTGGCTCTGGACCCTGAAAAGACACACCTGGAAAGCTGATGAATTTCCTATTGGGATCCTCCCCTGAAATATCCAGATAAATACCCTCAAGACAAAGACCCAGTGCAGCTCTCCCTCCTGGGAGCATCCTCCCCTCCCTGCCCCGCCCTGCCCCACCCCGCCCCAGGTGTGTTACCTTTACCTTTCCCTCTCCTAAGCTCCAAGGGCGCTTGTTTTGCCTTTGTAACTTGTTTCTTGAGCCCATTTCTTCTACTGCTCACTTCTTTGACCCCTGTGACTTTCTAAATAAACTTTCTCTTATAGTTTGAGTCTTGGCTCTGAATTCTTTCTTAGCCAGAACTCAAGTACCAAGGTTGCTGAGCCAAGGTCAGGTCTGACTCCTCTGGTCTAACACCTGGTGCTGTTTCACTACTGCCAACAGTTTGAAGAACCAGGAATAGAAGTAAATAAATAGATTAAAGGAGAGCAAAGAACCATGAATTTAAGGATTTTGAAAGTTCCTATAGAAATTTCTATCAGAACTTTTCAACTATGAAATAATTTATTATACTTCTGGGAAGTAGAGTAAAATCTTTCATACAACATAGCACCTTTTCTTTGATTTATTTACCTATATGTAAATTAGCCTTTCACTGTGCTAGACTATCATTTCTAAGGAACGCATGCTATTCTGAATTTTCTTTTCTCTCCCTTAGAAGCCTGAACAGCAAATCTAATTATGGGGGGGGAAGGTCAAAAATCTACAGGCCTCGCCCGGCAGGGCGTGGCTCAGCAGTTGAGAGTAGACCTAGGATCCAGGCGATCCGGGTTCAATTCCTGGTCAGGGCACACGCCTGGGTTGCGGGCTCGATCCCCAGTCAGGGACGTGCAGAAGGCAGCCGATCCATGACACTCTCATCATTGATGTTTCTCTCTCTCTCTCCCTCTCCCTTCCTCTCTCTGAAATCAATAAAGATATATTTTAAAAGAAAAAAAAATCTACAGGCCTCAAATTTATCTAGCTCCCCTGTCAAACATCAGGCAACTAGTCAGGTTGTGTCTTTCTAATTTGTAAACATCTCCATTAGGGAATTTGGCAACCCTGATGTCTGTGTGAAGAGGGCAGCACTGAACTGATCCTTTTTATTAACAGCTGTAAATAGATTTGTACAAAGCCGTGAGCCACGTCAGGGCCGCTGAAGAGTAATTTCAGAATAACTGTTTTGCTTATGATTTTAAAAACCATGAAGGGGGTCTAAGCAATCTTTTTAAAGGTCATTTTTCCCTTCCCCTACACTTCTGTCACATACCAGAATATGTCCCGTGTTCCTCTGAACTCCACCCCCCCATGCCTTTCTTTGGCAGCTTTCCCTCTCCTTCCCCAATTTTGTTTTGTAGCATCCACGGGTAGGGTGGGGGTCTTCAGAGAGCAGAGGAAGGGGAGACACTAAGCTGGTCAAGCCAGACCCCTCTTAAGTGAGCTGCAGAAGACGGGGCTTTGTGCGTTCTTATTGTATTATACCTGCATTTAAATCATATGCATTTTTATTGTATTTTTTTGCCGGTGATTCTAATTCCAATCCATTAGTTTGTGAGACTTTCAAAGCACACTTCAAAAAAGACTCCTCTCTCCTTCAGCAACATATACATTAGTGCCCTCAGAGACATGCCACTTAGGACTGGTGTTTCTTGTCATTTTTAAACTACTTTAGCATCTTTCAGACAAAACAATGACTCATATTCCCTAGAAACCAGCTGAGGGAGAAATCTGGGCGCAAGAGGGAAAGATCATTTTTGTTCCCGCCACACCATCATCTCTGAACTGTTCAAACACCACAGTGCCCACTGAGAGTGTTTATTTTCTTCAGGGGGCCTGCACCTTCTTTCATTTGAGGCAAATGTTCGTTCACCTAGAGGCTGGAAGATTGGGACTGGGGTAAGTCATTTCCCTCCTTTTCAATTTTTCTACTTACTTAAGCTTCCCTTGAGAAAAATTTCTTAAAATTTTCAAAAATCACTTTAAAAGTTCTATGGAAATTAACAGCTCTTAACCTCAGATTTTCTTAAGTCCCTCATGATTTTTATACAGGGTGTCTCCAAAAAATGGATACACACTCCTAACCCATTACGAATTTCAATGGGTTAAATCTGAAAAGAAAGAAACATCAGTTGAACTATCAGCTGTTAAAGTGTGTATGTATATATTTGAACAGAAAAAAAATAATGTGTCCCAGACACTAAAAAAGTTGGGATTGGTTGAACTGGCAAAATTATAAAGGCAAAATAGGTAAATAAATAAATAAAATGAGGATCAGTTTTAATGAACTAATAAATAGGTAGTTGAATACTTATTTTTGTGATTTTAAGCACCTTCTCCCAGCTACCTTCCTTCCTCTAATTCTATTTACTT